AAAATAACAAAGAAACAAACAGCAATAATACAAAGACAGGAAGATGATAAGAGGAGCCATAACTTAAGGATTAAGAACATAAAAGAAGAAGTAGGGACACAAACAAGTGAACTACAAAAGCTACTCACAGAAATAATCCAGGAGAATTTTCCTAATTTAGCAAAAGGTAAAGATACTCAGATGTATGAGGCATACAGGACCCCAGCTACCTACAACCCAAACAGAGCAACACCCAGGCATATAATAAAAATTCCAGAAATTCAATACAAGAACAGAATATTAAAAGCTGTAAGAGACAAGAAACAGACCACTTACAAGGGAACACCCATCAGAATTACAGCAGATTTCTCTGCACAAACCATCAAATCACGAAGAGCGTGGGGGGAAATAATTCAAGCTTTGAAAGATAATAATCTCCAGCCAAGATTGAGATATCCTGCACAACTGTCCCTGGAAATTGATGGAAAAACAAGGTGCTTCCAGGATAAAGAGGAACTGGGGGAGTTTGCGGCCACCAATTCAACTCTACAGAGAGTATTGCAGGATATTCTAAAAAAAGAAAAATACAAAAACCCAGAAATAGTGGCGGGGAGGCCACAACGAATGGAGCAGAGAACAAAATGAAGAAGACAAACTGACAGCTGCTGACAGAAAAAGAGCTCAACAGAAATGAGGCAGAGAAGATTGGATGATACGAACAGCTATTTTGGAGAAAATGACATCTTAATAGGTAATACTGATTTAGTATCATCTTGTTTTGAAGTCTCATCTAGCTTTTGTTCTTCTGTTTCCAATGGTCTAAATAGGTTGTATCTTATTGGATTTTGTTATGTATGATAGTATAAGCAAAAACCTTTTAAAGACAAGGAGATTATACAGAAACCATTGTTCATTTTCTGTTAGTCGATTCTAAATACTCTGTAATGCTGTCATTCTCTTAAATGGTTTTACATTGTTTTGATATACTTAATGCTACAGTATACGAAGTTGTACTCAAGGATTTCAAGGAAAGAGACAATATGGTAACTACTTGTGGGTCGGGATTATCTGGTGGTGAAACACTCTTCTGCTTAAATGGTTATGTTTTGATCTGCGCTGTTTTGTTGTTATGCCCTCTTTTATCTCAATCTCCACTCCATTATTTACTTTTTTATCTTTATCCTTTTAATTAAAGCAAAAAAAATAGCAGGATATATTACAGTAACCCACTTTGACTTTCCATTACCTCGATTTAAAGCCCTGTATTACTCTCACCATCTGGTTTTTTACTGATGTTCCCCTATTCTGTTTTGCTGGATAGTATCAGGTTCGAAAATTTAGGTATCAGCTGTGAAGATAATGAGATTGATTATAACGCCTATTCTCGATGACTTTTATCTACTTTTGAAGACCTACAATGTCTCCAATGTTTTGGTTTTGTCGGTTTTATTCTTTACTGTTTTGTTCAATTGTATTATAACTAATGATATAGGCAATTCTATTAGAGATAGCAGGAGGCTTTATGGTAACCATTGTTGATCACCTTGTATCATGTTTTTACATTATCTATTATGTCCACCCTTTTGTCTTGACCGATTCTGTTCTGTTATGTCACACTTGGTTTTACTCTCTTCCAAAAAAGTAATAAGAACTGTGGGAGCAATGAAACCCAAAATGTGTAATAGTCATGGTACAAAAGAGAGGAAAAGAAAGTGCTCTAAACTATATAACTGCATGTATATTTAAGTGTATAAGATAGAAAATGATATCACAGAGTTTTATTGGATAATTGAACAGAACTGTTTGCAGTATCATTGATGGAATGTCCACTTTACAAGCTTTAAAAAAAAAAAGTAAATAAGAACTGTGGGAGTAATAAAACCCAAAATGTGTAATTGTCATTGTACAAAAGAAATGAAAAGAAAAGAAAGTGCTCTAAAGGTTGTAACTGCATATATGTTTAAGTGCATAAGATAGATAACCATATTACTGAGTGTTTTTTGGATCATTGAACAAAACTGTTTGCACTCTCACTGTCTGAAGGTCCACTTTATATGCTTCAGTTTTGGAACTTGAACAACTATTTCTAAGATGAGAATATGTAATCTATTAACTAGTGATTTATTACTGTTTATTTTTTAAATTTTGTATTACTTGTACCCTTTTTGTTTTTTTCCTTTTTCTCCTTAAAAAAAAAGAGTCCAACTGGAGGTCCAGAGCCCACAAGAAGGATTCACACCAGTCTCTTTTACAGATTTGTGCTGGGAAGGCCCAAAGGTCAGCGGTGGAAGCTAGAAGAAAATTCTATGCCAGCGGGGTAAAGGAGCTATGCTGGTAGGTTGAGGGTTCCACAATGGAGCCGAGAAGTCACACTCACAACAAAGACCAGGGCTGTCCTGAAAAGCACCACGGCCATCCTCAGCAACACAGAGGCCCTGAGCTCTTCTGACCATAAGCACAGTCCGGTACATGCCAGGAATCCAGCAAGACGAGTCCATCCTGGAGACCAAGTAGCACACGTCTTTCTCTCCGGAGCCAGGAAGCAATGCTCAATGTGAGGGCCAGAGGTTCTCCAGGAAAACCAATGGCTCAAACAGCAACATGTAGGAGAACCCACAATGCTTCAACACCTCAATGCCTCAACGCTTAGTTTCTCCTTTTCCACGTCTCTATTTATGCTGGCAACTTTCCTCAGATGGGACAGCTACACTCAACACCATGCTGATGTAATCCAGCTGGCGTTAAGTTGACCACCAGTTTTTAATCCATAACAATACCCAACATAAGACATCACACCAAGTTTATACTACAGTCATTAAAACTACTAAAAATGAGCTGGGTGACGGCCGGGTATGGTGGCTCACACCTATAATCACAGCACTTGGGAGGCTGAGGCAGGAGGATCATTGTGAGTTGAGATCAGCCTGGGCTACAATGTGAGCTCAGGGCCAGCCTGAACTGCATAGCAAGACCCTGTCTCAAAAAGACAAAAAAAAAAAAAAAAAAAGCTGGGTGCAGTAGCACATGCCTGTAACTCCAGGTGCTTAGGAAGTTGAGGCAGGAGACAACTGCTGGTTTGAGGCAAGCCTAGGCAACAAAGGCAAACCCCATCTCAAAAAAAAAAAAAAATCAATAAATAAAAATATAGAAAATACATAGCATAAACTATTTCATAGAGAGTTCTAAATGAACAAACAGGAATTCAAATCAACCTGTAAGGGCTAGGGGAGTAGTTTAGTGATAAAATGCTTTCCTAGCACAATCAAGGCCCTGGATTCAAACCTCGTGACACAAAAAACTTTAAAATTTTAAATATCAGCATGTACAGTCTAATTTAACTATCACCAAGTACAAAAAGATCAACAGACCTGAAAATAAATGTAAAATGTTAACAGCATTATCTCTGGAGAGTACAACCTCAGAGTAATTTTATTTCACCTACACTAATATTTTCCAAAATGTCTAGTGAGCGTAATTCTGCTGCATGTAGCATTTTTTTTTTTTTTTTTTTTTTTTGATACCAGGGATCCAACCCACGACCTTGTGCTTGCCAGGCAGCTGCTTATGCTGCCCAGCTGTACATAGCAATTTTGACATATGTAATACTCCTGATCTGCAATCTCCCTCCACTCTATTATCCCACTACACAACATGCAATATGTTATTTTGAGAGAAACACCACATTCATACAATTTTCATTTTACTACACTGATTTAACTACTCTATTTTATGAGTAGTTGTGTTTTGAGGATTTTGTTTTTTGAGATTAGGTCTCACTATGTAATCCAGGCTGGCATTCCATTGATGGCAATCTTCCTGCTTCGGCCTTCTGAGTGCTGGAATGGTAGGCATGCACCACCACACCACCCTGCACTTGGACTGTAATTTGAGTGAAGGGTGTCAGAACAGCAGAGAGACAATGGACTGCCTATAGAAAAACAATGTAAGGGGCTGGGGATTTAGCTCAGCAGCATAAGCGCCTGCCTTGCAAGCAGGCAGTCATGAGTTTGATCCCTGGTACCGATAAAAAAAAAAAAATAAAAAAGAAAAACAATGGTAAACAGGCAAATAGAAAAAAAAAGACAGTGTAAAGATGACAACCTTTTCATCTAATCACAATTTTTTTTCCAAGACAGGCCTTAAAAAGTACCTAGAATTCACTTTCTACTATTCCTCCACTGTCCTCTGCCAGAACTCCTGACTTCAGAATTAAAAGCATCAGGTTAAAGAGGCTGTTCAGAACCTCAACTATCATACTATCTTTTCTTTTCTTTTCTTTTTTTTTTTTTTTTTTGTCTTTTTCGTTTTTATTAGTACCAGGGATCTAACTCACACTTGCAAGGAAGGCACTTATGCCACTGAGCTAAATCCCCAGCCTCCATAGTATCTTTTCTTAAAAACATATTCTGGCGCCAGGGATTTGGCTCAGTGGTGCAGTGCTTGAAGCCTGAGGTCCTGAGTTCCATTCCCAGTACCCTCCTCTCCCCCTGAAATAGACCACATTCAGAGTTTGTAAGTAACTACCTTAATTGGAAACAGGAAGGTTCTTAGGTTCATAATTCCCCATATCCCAGAAATCACTGGATTTCTAATCATATGAATACTGAAAGTACAGTTTTCTACCTTGTGTATTTTACTTTCAAACACCTAGACTAAGCCAGATGTGGTGGCACACACCTGTAACCTGAACACTCAGGAGGCTGAGGCAGGAGGATTTCTGGGAGTTTGAGGCCAGCCTGGGCTACAAAGTGAATTCAAGGCCAGACTGAACTGCATAGCGAGACTGTATCTCCAAAAGAAAAGAAAAAAATTTTTAACAAAACCTAGATTAATCTACTCAAAGCTTCTGAGAGTTAGCAAATGATGTCTTACTATACTGACTTCCTTGAGACTTGGAAGGTAATAGTAGTGAGTTACTCATGAGCAATAGGTAGTGATAGCTGGCTGATATTTCAACAAACAATATTATAAATTATCGCATCAGAAAGACTTCCTCACACAACCAGGGTAAAAACTCTTACCTCACTGCCAGCAGCCTCATGCTCTGGAACTACATCTCGATGCTTGTTTGGAGAAACTGATGCACTGACTGAAACAGACACGGGTTTTGGTGAATGGAAGGCACTGATAAGATGACTGAGAGGAACTGTAACCTAGAAAAAAAGAAAAGTTTTAATTAAGTAGCATATGTTTTTAAATCTCCTTTGTGTTGTCAGAATTTAGGATATGTTGAAAGTTAAAACTATGGACCCCCAAGTGGCCTGGAGCTGCCTGCACTCTGCCTTGAGAGCCAAAAGCCCCCGGAGAGATCTCTATCCCCTTGGGCAGCCTGTGCACATCAGTTGGAGACTGGGAGGACTGTGCAGCGTCCCCCATCACTAGAGGATCCTCAGGAAGGTCCCTCTGGGTCTACTTGGGGTTCGCCCAATAACCCCAAGTGGCTGGAAGCCACCTGGTAAGGTATGTCTAAGGACCTACACTCAACTGGGGAAATTCCTACAGTAGAGATAGATGTTGTCAACCCAGGAAAACAACTGAGGGCTGGAGATTTAGCTCAGTGGCTTAAGTGCCTGCTTGGTAAACATGAGGTCATGAGTTCAATCCCCAGTACTTTAAAAAAAAAAAAGAGAGAAACAACTGAGACCTTGCCTTCAGCTTCCCTAAGGGAATATAGGAAAATCACAAAATGAAAGCGCAAAATGTAATCTCAACCTCCAGCCCATCCCAGGCAAGCCTAGGAGACATGGACATAGAAGAAAATGTAAGCCATACACCTGAAACTCGAAATAATAGCAAGTAAAGTAAAGAAATAACTCCAGAAAGCTATAAAGGAACTCAAATCAGAAATAATCTCCCAGGTAAAAGAAATGATGGCCACATCTAAAGAAGACATAGTTTAAAAATAGAGGAACCTGTACAAGGATGTAAACCTTCAATGAATATAAGAAACAAACAGAATGCATGAAACAGATTCAAAGAGATATCCAGAAAACCAAACTTCCATCAAAAGTTGGGAAAACCCCCTCAGTGAAAGTGAAGATAGACTTTCAGACTCCAAAGACAAAACTGCAGCTAGTGAACAGCAAAGGAAAGATCTTTTAAAAATAACAAGGAGTCAGGAAATAACAATTCAACAGCTACAAGATGATGCACAGAAAAACAACATAAGATTGATACATATAAACGAAAAAGGTGACAACACAAATGATATTAAAAGACTACTTATACAATAGCCGAAAATTTCCCAAATTGGAATGGAAACTGAACATACAGATAAAGTGAAGCATACAGCACTCCAAATAGTCAAAACCAAAATAAAACAATACCTAGACGTATAATAATCAACATCCGAAAAATTCCACATAAGAACAGAATATTAGAAGCTGTTAGAGGGCCCGCCCCTCCGCAGTGGGCTGGCCCAGCAGGCCTGGGTTGCCTGGAACTGCCTTCACTGGACCTGACCCTCAGCTGTGAAAATCTGAGAAGCCCTGGCAAGACCTAGGAACCTGGGACTGCCGCCACTGGGCCCATCCCTTACCTATGAACACCTGGGATGCCCCAGCACAACCTAATCACTTAGGACTACCACTGTGGGCCCACCCCTTAGGGAAACCACCCACCTCCTGGACCTAGTACTGCAGAGGATCTTTGGATCCAACCCCTTCTCCCAGAACTTTGGACTACAAGGAAGTACAGTGCTGGATGGATGGGAGACTCAGGAACCCCTTACCCAAACAGAAGACCTCAGCAGGCTCCAGTCAGTGTGGTGAGTATGCTCCTAAAATAGAGATCTGCAGAGGGTAAATAAGAGTAGAAGTGAAACTCCCTCCAACTATAAGACCTTGACAAACCTGGCAAGAGAGTGGGAATCCCCTCCTCCATACAGATAACATCAAACAGATTGAGGAGTGAGCCAATAAGACCTCCGCCAACTTGCAGAAAATTAAAAGAGCTTATGAGACCTCCAGTGACACAGTAGGGCCTCAGCTGACACAAATACTATAGGCAGGGAGAGCTGCTGACCTGCAACAACCTGAAGACATAGCAACAGCAGGAACCAAGAGTTGAACTACATCAATACTGCTAGGCTAGTTAGCCCAGAAAGAATATAGGACTCACCCAACAGGCCCTGTAGGAGGAATTCAGGTGACTGGCTCTCCTCTACATTGTCTTATCCAACAACTGGACAAACGACACCCACACTGACCCAAAGTAGGACCCAAAAACTCATACTATAGACAGTTGAAACTGTTCGGACTGAAAGACCAAATATTTATCCAAAAGGTAAAAATAACAAAACGAAAAGGCAAAGTGTAATCTCAAACATCTAGTCCATCAGGAGCAAGTCCACGCAACACTGAAATAGAGGACTATAAAAAAGTCATACACCAGGAACCTCTGAAAAGACAGCAAATGAAGCAAAGAAACAAATCTATGAGACTACAGAGGAAACCAAATTAGAAATAATGTCTTATGTAAAGACAGAAGTAACCTTAGTAAATAAATTGCTCAACATAGCTAGACAAGAAATAGACCAAAAAAAAAAAAAAAAAAAAAACAGGAGCTTGGGAAATTGATTGAAACTTTGAATGAACAATGCAGAAAACAAGCAGAATCCATGAAACAAATTCAAAGAGATAGCCAAGAAACAAAAACTATTGAAAGCGGGCAAAACCATTTAAATGAAGCTGAGGATAGAATTTCAAACCTGGAAGACAGGATCATAGATAGAGATCATAAAAAGGTAGAACTTAAAAAAACAAAGCAGCATGAAATGACAATCCAGCAGCTTCAAGATGATGCCAAGAGAAACAATATAAGCCTAATAGGCATCAGTGAAGATGCAGGATTGAATGCAAATGACGTAACTAAACTATTCACAGAATAGCAGAAAATTTCTCACAAATAGGGAAAAAATGTGATATAGAAATAAGTGAGGCATACAGAATGCCAAACAGTCACAATCAACATAAATCTACACCCAGACATATATCTCAGACATATAGCATAGAAAAAGGACACTAAAAAGCTGTTAAAGAAAGCCTATTAGAAATACGGCAGACTTTCCAGCACAAATTTTCAGGTTAAGACGAGCTTGGAGTGAGGTCCTGATGGGTTCACAGCTGAATTCTGCAAGAAATTTAGAGACGATTTGATGCCAATACTCCTTAAACTCTTCAATAAAATGGAAAAGGAAGCAATCCTCCCTAAATCATTCTTGGAGGCCAGTATTACTCTCATACCAAAACCAGAGAAAGACCCAACCAAAAAGGAGAGCTATAAGCCAATCTCACTAATGAACACTAATGCAAAGATTCTCAATAAAATACTGGCAAAGAGAATGCAGCAAGTTATCAAGATTATACAACACGACCAAGTGGGATTCATCTCAGGAATGCAGGGATGGTTTAACATACGCAAATAAATAAATGTAATACACATCAATAGAGCCAAAAACAAAAACCACATGGTCATCTCAATAGATGCAGAAAAATCTCCCAATAAAGTCCAATACATGTTCATAATAAAAACCCTTCAGAAACCCAGAATACATGGTGCCTACCAAACCTTAAAAAGGCCATCTATGACAAACCAACAGCCAACATTATACTAAATGGACAAAAACTGAAAGCTTCACACTAAAATCAGGAATAAGACATGGATGTCTACAACCACCACTCCTATTCAATATAGTTCTGGAAACACTAGCCAGAGCAATCAGACTAGAAAGAAATAAATAGAATAAAGATAGGAAAGGAAGAAGCTAAATTATCACTATTTGCAGATGACATGATACTCTATATAGAAGACCCCAAAAGTTCCATTAAAAGACTAATAAACAAATCAGCAGTGTACCTGGATACAAAGTCAATGCTCAAAAATCAACAGCATTCCTGTACACAAAAAGCCCAATTATGGAAATATCATCCTTCACAAAACATCTAAAAAAATGAAATACTTAGGAATCAACCTAACTAAGAATGTAATGCTGAAAGAATGTATATGCTGAAAATTATACCACACTAAAAAAAGAGATTGAAGAGGACATTAGAAAATGGAATGATATTCCTTGCTCTTGGCTAGAAGAATCAACATTGTGAAAATGGCCATACTCCCAAAACTCTTACACAGATTTAACGCAATTCCAATCAAAATACCAAGAGAAAACACGTCTAAAATTCATTTGGAAACAGAAGAAACCCAGAATTACAAAGGCAATTCTGGACAACAAAGGCAAGGCAGGAGGCATCTCAATTTCTGACTTGAAACTATACTACAAAGCCACAATGATAAAATCAGCATGGTACTGGCAAAGAAACAGACCTAAGGATCAATGGAACAGATTAAAAGATGTGAGCACAACCTCAAAGACACTCGGCCACCTGCTATTTGACAAAGGGGCTAAACATGTTCATTAGAAGAAGGATAGCCTCTTTAATAAATGGCGTTGGAAAAACTGGCTGTCTACATGCCCAAGACTTAAACTAGATCCATGCCTATCACCATGCACAAAACTAAAGTCTAAACGGATCAAAGACCTAAATGTTAAAATAGAAACACTAAATCTACTGGAAGACAAGGTAGGTAGAAGTCTTGGAGACATAGGGAGAATTCATGAACAACACGCAAACTGCACAGGAAACACTTCAAAAAAAATAACCAACAGAGTAAAAAGAAAAACCTACAGAATGGGAAAGAATTTTAGCCAACAACCCCTCAAAGGACTTATATCCAGAATGTATAAAGAACTGAAAAACATCAAGCCCCCAAAATTCAAAGATCCTCTCTAAAAATGGGCATTTGAGATGAACACACATTTCTCAGGTGAAGACATACAAATAGCAAATAATACACGAAGAAATGTTCACCATCACTGGTCATTTGAGAAATGCAAATTGAAACAACATTTACATTTCATATCACTCCGGAAAGAATAGCTGCCATCAAGAAATCAACTGATAACAAATGTTGGCAAGGCTGTGAGGGGAAAAGGAACACTGCTCCACTATTGGTAGGAGACTAGACTGGTGCAGCCACTATGGAAATCAGTATGGAGAATTCTCAGAAGACTAGGATTGGAAGTTCCATTCAATCAAGCTATTTCCCTCTTGGGTATTTTCCCAGAAAAACTGAAAAGGTCATATCACAGTGA